GCACGCAGACAGGCTCGAGGTGTGTGAAAGAAAGATCTCGCACACCGAGGAGCTGCTACTGCGTGTCCCAAGCAGGCTGTGGCTATCTGTGTCTTGCATGTCAGAGGCAGGCAGGGAAGGAAGAAACCGCCAGAGAGGGTTGGAGATGACACAGCACACACAGTGTCCCCAGCCCAGTGATGCTTGGGTTGACCAGATGTTTCCGGGTCTGGAGCAAGCAGCCCAGGCCTTGCGAACAGAGCTCTCTTAGTTGGTGAAGACTTAAACACCCGCCTGAGGTCAGGAGGCAACCTGCCTCCTTTGTGCAAAAGCTCAGGTGAAAGACTGAGATGAATGTCTTTCCTCTCCCCGCCTCCCACAAGATTTCCTCCTGGAAACCTCTTCGGTAGACGTGGCCAGGAGCTTGCCTTTGTGTAAATTGGGGAAGTACACGCACCATACGCTATCCACAGATATAGCCAAGTAGATTTGGGTAGAGAATACTATTTCCAAAGTAGTGTTTAGCTCACCTAGGGGGATGTGTTTGTATACACATCTGCATATACCCACACGGGGACATAAGCTAATTTTGTTTTTTTATAGGACACAGAATTCTGTTCAATGCTGTTAAATACGCCAATAGTTTAATCTCTTCTATTTTGTTGTTCGTTGCTTGTTTGAAGAACATCATGACATTCCAAGTTGACTTCTTTTTTTTTTTTTCATTGTAATTAAAATTTGAAATTCTGAACACCCTCGGCACCCTCTCTTCCCCATAACTGGGGTCACCTGAACTCTGTCCCCGTCCTCTTCTCCTGCTTCCTGTTTGGGGCCTTCATTTAACTGCCTTACTGGCTGGCGTGGCTCAGATAGCAGATGGGCATCAGTGTGGGTCTCGGGTCTGGGTGCAGAGGGGACAGCTGCAGAGTGCCCTGCCCTGGCTAGACGGCCACCGCTCCTCGGTTTGGAGACAGCTTGGTCCCCGTTCCCCAGCTCACTGGTGGGCAAATGCCACCCCCTGAGGTCCTCATCTCGTGGAATTGAAAAGGTCGGCCACTGGGGAAGCCTGACTCTGCAATCAGCTGTAGGGTTTTGTTGTGTTGTATGAAATAAAACTATAATATAAATTCTCTTATTAAATGAAATTATTTTTAAGTTTTAGTGTCAAAAGTGAGATGCCAAGAGTAGGGGATAATGTATATTTTACAGAGCTGGTGATGGTCGGATGGGGTCATTTCACATGACTGCTCTCTGTCTCTTTTTTTCAGATTATGGGGGTGTATTCACCCTCTGCTAGCATTTATATCTTCAGCTCATTCCACTTTAGGAAACAGAGCTGACAACTGAAACAGGAGAAGAGAAAATAGAGATGCAGCCAACACACTGTAGTGTCTTGCACACACACACACACAAATGCCCGGGCAAGGTGTTTGGCAGAGCCCCAGAGCAGGAAGGCAGTGCAGGCGTTGGGTTTCCTTAGGATCGACTGCGTTCCCTTGTGCCTGTCCCTTGTGGTCATGCCATTTGGCAGAGCGGGAGATGGGAGCAGAGGGGGCTGAGGCCAGCAGGCCAGTGGTTTTAAAGGGATGAGCTCAGACTCGGTGTTTGGGAATTGTCTTTATTTCAACCTCAAAGTCTCGAGAGGTGGAGCCCAGCCCGTGCAAGTGCCCTCCCGCAAGCGGACGTGGGCATCTCCTCTGTGAGGCATCTGGCCCTTCGCCGTCCCTGCTGTGTGGTCACCCCCACTCACACAAAGAGGGACTTGGGTGAAGCCCGAGCACGAGGCACCTGGAGTTTCCCTGCATGGTAGCTAAGTCAGAGCCACAGCCCCACTGGGCAGGCCTTGGTGAGCAGGTCCTGGGCAAAGGAGGGTCTTTTGCGAAGCGATGTGGTCAGAGGGCGGTTTTTGAGCTTTCTATAAGCTATAGCTTTGTTTATTTCACCTGTTCACTTACTGTATAATTTAAAGTCATTTATGTAGCTGAGACACTTCCGTATTTCAATCATATCGTGAACGTTTTATTTTGCTAAATCTTGTGTCATGTGTAGGCTATAATATGTGTACATTGTGTTTAAGAGAAAAAGAAAAACAGAAACCCACATGCCGCCATTTTCCCGGAATCAAATTCTACAGTGGAATGGAGAGTAAATACTTCTACGGGGCAGGCGGCTAGACTGGCGATCGGGAAAACCAGAAGGACCTAGTTCACTGAGACTCCCCCAGCCTCCTCCCCGTTGGGATCCCCGTGGTTTGAGGAGGAGGAAGGAGATGGGAAGAAAAGGAAAGTCTGTTCACATCCTTGCTCCGTATCTACTGGCCCTGGGTATTCTGCTACTCACTCTCATTTCCTTTTCCTCCAAGACCTTTTGATCACCCAACTGGGAAGCCAGGATTCCTCCAACAAACCCAAGGCCATGGGAGCCGTGATTCCAAGTTCTCTGTGCATCCTTTGGGTGTCGCTTCTGCCTCCCAACCAAGGAAGCCCCACACCCAGGCCCCTGCCTCTCAGGCCAGGGCTCTGACCTGGCCAGGGGAGGTAAGACTAGGAGACCCTCCCCCGGTCCCAGACCTGCCTCCTGGTGGTTGAGCTACAGCCATGGGCACCATTTTTCACACCATCATACCTAGATAGTTAAAGAAACAAATGACTTATTGGAATAGCTCTGTCTAGGAGCCACTGGGGCCCCAGGAGGTACCGCCCTGGCTCTTCCTCTCCTCTTGTGCATGACGAGCAACAGTGTGGATTATCCCAAGGTGGCACCCAAGTGTCTGGCTCCTGGCCGCCTAAAGTAAAAATATCACTAGAGTATTTTTATCAGAAGGAAATACTATAAAAATCTAATGGCAAAAGCAAAACAAAATGGGGGAGCATAAGACAAGTGGATATCATATCAACAACTTCCCAATTGGCTTTTTGGAGGTGAGAGGAAAGGAAGAACTTAGAGAATGGTTTATGTTTTGGGGAGTGGGGGCATCTTAGATTCTCCTGTGCCCCCAAACTTTCCCTGTGGCCAGTCTGCTGTCCTGAAACCCAGAAGTGATGGAGAGAAACCAACCAGAGAAAACCCTGTCTAGAAGGAATGTATTTGTTGCTAAATTTTGTAGCACTGTTTACAGTTTTCCTCCATGTTATTTATGAATTTTATATTCCGTGAATGTATATTGTCTTGTAATGTTGCATAATGTTCACTTTTTATAGTGTGTCCTTTATTCTAAACAGTAAAATGGTTTTATTTCTATCACGCATCCGCTGCCTCTTGCCTTGTTGTGTCCGGACGGCCACTGGGGGTTATACAGACAACAGAGGGCCTTGACATCTGTCCTGCTGTCCCAATTCCAGGCCTGTGCACACTCCCTCCCCAACCCACTTCTATAGCCTTGCCCCCTTCCACCCCAGTCCTTTTCCCTTGGCAGGAGCAATTTCAGAGGAGGTAGCCTACATTTCCTCCTGGCTGCTAATCCAGCCCTGACCTTGATCCCAGACTCTATTGCCAGGGTTCTTCATAGTTCTACAAGATCTAGATTCTCTATCCAACCACTCATGGGTGGGGGTACAGGTACCCTCAGACTGGGGCCCTGACTCATCCTTCCTTGTTTTCTTCCTAAGAATCTCAACCTGGTGGAGGTGGGGAGGGGAGGCCTTGATGTCAACTGCCTGCTTGAAATTCCAAGTATGGTTCAGCCAGGTTGGGGATGCCAGGAACTCCTGAGGTTCCACAACAGCTGGTGGCCCCTCCCAGAGCATACAGAAGGGCCTGTCACCCTCAGTGGCCTGGACTGGCCACAGACTTCTCATGCAACTTGCACCCCACCATTGACAATGTTTCAGGTTTTTCTCCCACATGCCAGACACAGTGCTTTATACTCATGATGACGTGAAAGCTCAACAATCTCATGAGGTTGTTCTACTGTCATCCACAGTTTCTAGCTGAGGAAGTCAAGGTTCACAGAGATTAAGTCATTGCCCAAGAACTAGTACGCAGACAGAATTGCGATTCAAACTCAGGCTGGTTTGATGATAAACCCTGAATTTTCTCCACTGTAGTCACGTTTTGTTGGAATGTGATGGGTTTCACATGTGCCCTTCTTATTACAACCAGCACATCCTGGATTCTCTGATACTCACTGGATCAGATATATGGGAAAGGTAATCAGTGGAAAACCTCTGCTTGGTTAGACTGCTCCCACTTAGAACCCGTAGTCCTACCTGTCAATGTCTCCAAACAAGAGTTGTTCCAGCTCAGCAGCCTGAGCTTGAATTCTACAAACAGGCCACAGTCTCCAGCTGGGACTATTGCATATCCTACCAATTATTCTGTTTCCTGAGACTCGCAACCTCTACAAGTCCAAGCACAAGGCCACGGCCTGCATTCCTTTGACCAGTTTAGCAAGACCACCTGCCACACAGCAGGACTATTCCAGCTGCCCACAGCTCCTTCACCCATCTTCTTCTGGCTGCAGGTGGAGAACTCTCCACCCCATTCAGAAAGACGTTAGCCTCTCCCCACCAGGTATCCTCCAATTGGGAGGCTTTACCATGTACTCCGAACTAAGCCCCACCTACTTCCCAGAGACAACCGCAGGTGTATTCAAAAGTTAGAAAGTGAAGAGGACACAGAAGGAAACTGCCCTTCAACAATCACTGCAAACGAGTATTACTGCTTTTTATTAAAACACAAGTTGAAACCAGGTCCCAGGCTCAAATGAAATAACATCCTGCCTTGAAAACATCTTTTACCTTTATAATCAACCTCTGGCTCCAACATGCCAGCTCAAGTAGTCCCCCGATTTGTTGAAAGTTCCAGAGGTCCCCCCAAATGCTGTCCACCTTTGCCATTTGTCCTACTGCCTGAATTTCACCTGGGGAGGTGACTCTTCCCCCAGGAAAGCCAGGCATCCCCACAGGACACTGGGGCTCTTCCTCAGAGTCCAGGTGGTCAGGCAGTGACAACCGAGCCCTGGGGACTCAGACATCTGTGTTCATACCACATCGTGAAACAGAGTAAGGAAAGGCACTCACCATTGGCTTGTGGTTGGGAAAAAATGTTTGCTCCACCAGCGGGAACTTCTCAGGGCCCAGGGAATGGAAGATCTTAATGAGTTGAGAGAACTAGAACAGAAGAGGAGAAAACATTGATCAGCCATTGGTACCCAGTATGGTGACACCTCTCACTTGATCCTAAGCCTCAAGTGTCTGCCTTCTTACAGCTGAGCTCTGGTAGCTGTCCCCAGCCTATAGGATCAAGGCCAGAGCCCTTGGCTGGACATTCATCCTCTCCCTTACCTGGCTTCATCAACCCCCTCATTCCTGCCCTAGACCTAGTAAGTGGGTGGGATACTGGGGTCAGCTCAACTGCATTTGATGAGCACGTACTACATCCTTATCATTTCACACAAGGTCCTTGTCCACAGCACGGCCTGCTGATGTTCACGCCACACCCTCTGCCTGAAATGTCTTCCTTCTAGAGAGGCAGCACTGCACAGTAGTTCATGGTGTAGACTTTGGATCCAGCCTCCCTAGGTTCAAATTCTCTCTTGACCACTTACTAGCTGTCTAACCTGGGAAGTCACACAAGATTTCCGGGCTTTGTTTTCTTCACCTGTAGACTGGACATAACAAGATACCCCATCTCATAGAATTGTTGGCAGGATACAGCATGCCTTTGTCCAAAGGAATGCACGAATGCTAGATGACGTTATTATTAATAAATATTATCTCTGCTGTTACAACACTTCTGATTTCCAACAGCTCAAGCCACATCCCTTCCCACTGAGCTCGTGCTGCTTCAGCCCTTCCTTGTTTGCTCTAGAGGGTGAGTTCCATCACTGTGCTTCACTATCAGGGCAACAAGCTAACCTTGAGGGAAACAGGCACATGGTGGAGACAGGAATGTCTTCATCTTAGGCTGGAGGGAAGCATGGGGGCTATGGGACCTGGAAGGAGAACAGAGTGGGGGTCAGGGACACTCCCTGGAGCAGATGACATAAGAGGAGGAGGAAGGACACCTCACTGTACTCTAGGTGTGCAGTGAGACTCATATGTGTTGGAGACCCTCAGCGGCTACCATGGCTGTGGCCCCGAGTGCAGGGGACAGTGAGAGGAGGCTGGAAGGTCATCCATCAAGACCACCAGGAGCCTTAAGGGCCAGCTAAGGAGCTTAGAATTCTCCCAGAAGCTAAAGGAGAAGCTGCTGGTCGATACGAGCAGGAATGAGCAGGTCAGGTCCTGATTAAGAGGAAGGAATCAGCTGCAACGTGTGGCTGCCCAGTGGTTGGAAAATGGGCCAAGTCTCATGCCAGTCTGTCTTGGGGGTCACTAAGAGCCGGCGCAGAGAGAACAGGGTAACTTAGGAACTTTCTGCATCAGCCCAGGATCGGCCTGCAAACTCTTGGGGTGTAGCCTGCATGTGCAGTGCAACAGGAAGTCAACTTGGAGGGTGGGTCTGGTAGACCTCAGAAACGTGGGAAATGATGTGAGGGTGGAGGTGGGGGGTGCATGTTAAGGGACAGGACAGCACGGGGTGTGGTTGATGGACTGAGCTGATGGACTGTGGTTGCTACCATCACGATAACTGTGGGGGAAAGATGTGAGGGGGATGAGCTAATACTATTTGAGACCCTTTCCTAACAGTGGCACTTGAATTTTGGATGTCTTAGGCCAAAAAGTTCAGTTAGGGTAGCATGAGAAGGAGACCAGGGCCCATGAGTACAGTGGTAAAGACTACCCACATCTATTAAATCAATGCAGATAGACAATCAATAAATACTGTGTTTCAACTCTGAATGGGCCTTGTTCTAGGTACTAGGAGCAAGGATGACTGCCACCATCTATTGAATGTATATTTGGTGCCAACCATTTATGAGCACTGAGCACATGTTAACTCATAACCCAAACAGGAAGGCCCTGCTATTGTCATCATTTTCCAAATAAGGAAGCTAAGTTCAGAGAGGTTAAGGAGGTTGCCTAAGGCTACACAGCTGGTAAGTGGAGAAGCCACAGCCTGGGAGTCCAGCTCCAGAGCCCACACTCCCAAGCACTGCCCTACGTCACTAGGTGATCACACAGACAGACAGCAACGCCAGACAGACCAAACGGCTACGAGTGCCACATGCTGCATACCCCCCAACCTCCAGTTATCATTCCTCCTTCCCTCCTTGGTTTTGCTCCTTGGCACTTATCACAGGGCATATTACATATGTGGTATATTTATTAATGCACTGCACTAGAATGCCCACTAGAATGTAAAATCCACTGGGTGGGGATTTGGGTCTGATTTGCTCACTGCTATTCTCCTAGGACTTAGAACACTACCTGGAACAGAGTGAGTGCTCACTAAATATTTGTTGCATGAACAAATTGCTTCTAGCCAGGGAGACAGATAATGTACAAATAAATGGATAAATAGAGCATTCTAGGTGGAGATAAGTATTGGGGGTAAAAAATAAAATAAAATACCTCTCTTACAGGTAACTTCTGGATGGAAACACAAATCAAATGAATGACTGAAACTAATGAATAAAAGAAGAGAAATCAAGTGCTGGGTGTTGAAGACAGAGGGTTTCACATTCTGGCTTCACCACTCACTGGCTACATGTCCCTGGAGTTTCCTTCTCTGCAAAATGGGGCAATGGCACTGGCTTCACACCACAGCGATGGTATGAGCACCAGGTAGCAGGGTTTTCTGGTATGTAGTAAGTGCTCAATCAATGGTGCCTGCTGTTAACAGGCAATGATGATAAGATGGTGAATGTTAATCAAAACAATACAGTACATTCTTATGACTAATATTATTATAATGCTACCATACCATAATATGTAATTATAGAATATTGTTTAGGCAACAATTCCAATAAGAGTCCTGGGATCCGAATGGTTTCTTCAGTTGCTTAAATATTAATAAGATTCTTATCACTATGGAGAACTCCAAGCTGGAGAATGGGCCCACTGCAGGGCTGGGGGGCCACCCACTGCCTCCCAGCGCCCTCCAGGTCAGCCTGGCCCGTCACCTACCACCCAGGGCTTGCTGCAGAAGTTGTAGACGGAGTAGAGAGAGTTGACGGCGGGCAGCCCCCCGTACTGCAGGCCGATGACCAGGCTCCGGTAGTCTTCGCCCAAGGCCATGCTGTAGGCGTGCTGGCGGACCAGGATGAAGTCTGGCTTGAAGGATCTGCTGAGAGAGGGGTCAGCAGGGCGTCATTACCACATTGGCACAGTGCTGACCCGCGGGCAGGCAGCTCTCAGTTCAGAATGGGGAAGGGTGGGAGCTGGGGAGGAGGAAGGAGGCTGGGTGCAAACATGCAGCCACTCCACTACAGTCAAAGGACTGAAAACAACACATACTTCCTTCTGTTTGTTTTTCTGGGCCATCTTCAAACTTTCTACATTGAACATCTATTTTATTTGCAATCAGTAAAAGCAAGCATCAAATAACTCAGCGAATGGACTGAGATTTCCCCAGGTGCCAGCACTGAACTGACTGTATGTATCACCTGTTGTGAGGACACCTGCCCCAGGAGGTGGGCATTGTGCCATCATCAGCTCCCTGCTACGGATGAGCCCTCTGAGGCTCAGGAAGACTGAGTCACTTGCTCAAAAAGACACGCTGCAGGGAAGTGGCAGAGCCAGGACGGCGTGGCCTTGCAGCTCTGGCTGTCAATCACCAGACAGCACGGCCTCCTTCCCGCAGATTTCAAATCAAACGTGTCTCGTTCCCTCCCAGCAGCAGCCTTGGGAAAGCAGCAAGAGCACGAATGGGATGGCCCAGGCCGCGGCAGGCTCTTTGCTGGCCCCTCTGGAGGTATGATCCCCATGAGATCTCACAAACACACCTGGGCAAGCTGCAGACTGTTTCCCCATCCGCAGATGGGGACAGTGCAGCTCAGAGAAGTTAAGAACTTCACAAAGCTGGGGAGCAGGGGAGCCGATGTGAACTCAGTCATCCGGCTCCAAGTCCACGTGCTTTTTACCCCAGCGCCCAGCCCCGGGTGGATTCACACATTGTTTCATGCACACTGCTAAGCATCTACCTATTTTTGGATTCCTCACTTCCAAGGACACATGAAAAAATCAGCCTCACTGTAGGTATGAGGCTGACGCTCAAAATGGAATCCGATCGATCCACTTGGCTCGTCCAGGACCAGACACTTAGCTTCAAATAAATTGTCTCTAAAATAATTCTAATGTCAATTAAAATAACTCTCCAAGGGAAAGGATTTCCCCCCCACTGAAGACAGAGGAAAAGAATGTGCAGCTACTTCTGAAATCATTCTTGGCCAGCGCCTCACTGTACACCCAGGGCCTGACCTGAGAGCAGGGGAGCAGTCGCCGTGCGCTGCAGGAATGGATGGCGGGCGTGGACAGCACTCCTTACTGCCCAAGAAAATAGCCAGTGTCCGTGGCTAAGTCGTGACACATCTCGAGGGGCCACTTGGATGGGAGCGTCCTCTCCACATGCACGGGTCACGCTGTGCTCAGGGCAGTGGGCGATCACACTCGCATTGCTCTGTGGTTAGGGTTAGGGTGGGAATCTTGGAATTACAGCGGCAGGGATGAAAGAAGGAATGAAGGAAGATCACGTGTGTGCCTCTGCAGGGATCTGAAGGCAACAGGATCACTGACAATATAACCACTCACTGCTTCTATCTGATTTCAAAAGTAATGAATGGCTGAGCGTAGTGGCTCGTGCCTGTAATCCTTGCGCTTTGGGAGGTCAAGGCAGGAGGATCCCTTGAGGCCAGGAGTGCAAGACCAGCTTGCAAACACAGCGAGATCCTGCCTCTAAAAAAATAAAAAATTAGCCGGGAATGGTGGTGTTCACCTGTAGTCCCAGCTACTTGGGAGGTTGAGGCGGGAGGGAGGATGGCTTGAGCCCAGGAGGTTACGGTGAACTGAGCGACAGAGCAAGACCTTGTCTCTCTCTCTCTCTCTCACACACACACACACACACATAATACATGCTCCTTATGTAAAAACAAAACAAAAATCCCCTTGGTGTGAGTGTGTGCTAGAAGGCTTGGATCTTAAAAGAAAAGCAGTGGTTTGTCAAGCCGGCAGGGTTTGGAGGGTATGCTAGGTAGAGGACATGGCACCTGTGACCAAATGGAAGGTCCTCGTAGTATAGTGGACTGTGCTGTGTTTTGTTTCATCTGCTCAGTATTTTCCCTTTTTGGGAAACAAAACCCATGATAAAATCCTGTCCCATCAGAGAACCACATTTGGCTGGGCAGTAACTGGTCTCAGGACGGTGCCTCCGATATAAAATGGGCCGTCAGAATCCTTCTTGGGGATGCTGCACGTGAGCTCCGGGTAAGAGGAGAGGCCAGCTAAGATGATGCCACATGAGCTGGGGCTGATGGAGACCGTTCCCGCTGCGTGGGGGTGGAGGGGGGCCCACCTTAGTAGAAGTCCTGGCTGGGAACAGAGACAGGGGGAGACAAGAACCCTGCCAACATCAGCCCTGCCTCGAGCCCCGATGAACCTAATAGCAGAACTATCTTTATCTTCTGAGTTATATGAGCTATTGAGTTCCCTTTTGTGCCTGAACTAGTTTGAATCAGGCCATCAGTATTGCTCTGATGGATGCTGGGAGCCAGTGGCAAAGTTTGCAATTGGTTCCATGGCTGGAGTACAAGGTATGACAAGATGTCATCAAGGGATAGGGCTGGGTAAAAAGTCCCCACAACCCTCTAAGGCCCTTCCCACCTCCCTGGGAGCCCCACTGGGCCTAAGCCCTGGGTGTCTCCTGCCTGGGCGAGGTCCCCTTCTATCCCACCCAAACTGGCACATCCTGGCAGCAGGTGAAAGCTGGGTTCTCTTGTTATTTTGGCTTTAAACTTCACATGAGCTGTATCATTTGGGCTCCCGATCCCAGGTCTTTCTCAGAAATGGCTGTCGGCACTCAAGAGGAAACCCGGGACGGCGTATAATTACACGGGAAAGGTGGGACAGGTGAGGCTTCGCTGGGGCATTACCGACTGCTTCGGGCGGCGTCAGAAGGCAGGGGCCAGGGGCTGAGTGACTTTCAGCCACCGGGGAAGTGTAATAATTCCCTCAAATATGCAGAGGCCTGCGGTGGCAAGAACAGGTCTTGGCTGGGCTTTGCCTGGGACCTAAGTTAATGAGCAGAAGCCTCATTATTCCTGGTTGCTTGACTGCTATTTCGTAACTGTCCCCTGGTCGCCGAGAGCCAAGTTGGCAAAGGGTGAGGATCGTTGTGATTTTGTTCACATGCTGAGACCCATCACAGCCAGACCTGGTCCCAGCCGTGCCTGGGAAGGCTCCGGACTTGGCGACACCCATGGCTACCGGCAGAGAGACATCGCGGTTCCCCCCAACTGTCTCCCCGTAACATTCCCAGTAACACTTCTCCTCTCCATCTCCAGAAAGTCAACCGTGGGTGTCCCATCTGGCAAAGGGGACGAAGGGAACGGAGCCAACCACCGAAGGGGGAGGGGAGATCAGAACATCTCAGGGGTCCCCACTCCCCTGCAGGCTCGTGGTGTCACTGCACCGCTGCGAGGCTGAACCAGAGGAAGCGCGCAAGCCTTGCAGATGGAGGGCTCGCGACGGCCATATGGAAGGACTTTGGGAATTAGCGATGCTTCCCGCCAGCCTGAGGACTGCAAGAAATTAGTCCAGGCAGAAAAGAAATTAGGTGGCAGCCAACCAAGAATCTGGCGAGGGGCAGACAACAGGATGCTGCAGGGAGGCCCGTGGGGCCCGCACGGCAGCCGCCAGCTGCACACCGGCGGAGGAGGGGCCCCGCGGGGCTCAGGGACAGCCCGGCTCGCTGACGAGTCCCGGGGCCTCTTCGGAAAGTGCTAGGAGGTTAATGAAACACAGGCCCGAGTTGCTGGAAGAAGTAGGCCTCCTCGTTTCCTGCCTCAGCCTCACTCGGTATCTTGGTATCTTTGACCTGGTGTCTTCCTCCCCTTTCATTCCAGACAACAGCCCTTGACTCTACTCTCCTTCTCCATCACCCCGGGGACCTCACGTGTTACGGGTTGGACTGTGTCCCCAGGAAGATATATTCGAGTCCTAAGCCCGGGTACTTATGAATGTGACCTTATTTGGAAATAAGGTCTTTGCGGAAGTAATCGAGATGTCGTATTGGAGTTGAGCAGGCCCTAATCCAATGACTGGTGTCTTTAGGAGAGGAGGGAAATCTGGACGCAGACTCGCAGGGAGGAAGCGGAGAATGCCCTGGGACAGGGGAGGCAGAGACTGGAGTGGTGTATCTACAATCCAGAAGCGCCGAGGATGGCAGGCGACCGGCAGAAGCTAGGAAAAGGCAGGCCTCCCTGTGGCCTTCAGAGGGAGCACGGGAGGGGAGTCGAGACTCCAGTCTTTTAGCCCCAGCCAGAGTATGAGAGAATAAACTCCCATCGTTTAAACCACCCAACAGGTGGTACTTGGTTACAGCAGTCTCAGGAAACGAACACACTGCACATTGCCAATGTCTCCTCTTTCTAGCAGCTTCCAGGACTTTCTGGCTTCCTGGGTCCTGGCATGTGCCCTCCACAGCCCCATTCCCCGCTTCTCAAACCAACCACCCCGGCTTATTCTGTTTGGGCTGCTAGGCCAAAGTACCATAGGCTGGGTGGCTTTGAAACAACAGAAATTTATTTCTCACAGTTCTGGAGGCTGGGAAGTCCAAGATCAAGGTACTAGGAGATTCAGTGTCAGATGAGGGCTGCTTTCCGGCTCCTCCTCCCTGAAATATCCTGAGATGGTAGAAGGGGAGAGGCAGCTTCCTGGGATACCTCTATAAGGTCACTAAATCCCATTCAAGAGGGCTCCACCCTCATGATCCAGTCACCTCTCAATGGCCCCACCTCCTAATGCCATCACACTGGGGTTAGGTTTCAACATAAATTGGGAGGGACATAAATATTCAGACCATAGCAAACCCCAACAGCAACAATAAAAAAAAGAAAGCCTCTACATTAAGGTTGAAAATAAGCTGGTAGTTAAATAATGTTCATATATATACATATATAAAAGAATGAAAAAATCAACCAGTTGATAAATGCATGGAGATCTGTTTGGATGGGTGTTCACCAAAATGCTAACCTGGTTACTTGAAGAGTGAGATGGGAAATGGGAATTATTACATTCTTCTTCCTACATTTTCATGCTGTCTGCATTTAAAAAGAAAAAAAAAGAGCACAG